TAAGTTTAGTTTAATGAAAAGAAAGACTAGCGGTGACACAACAGCATTGTTCCAATATTTAAAGGGTTGCCACAAAGAAGAGGGAGTCAATTTATTTTTCAAAGCACCTGAGGGCAGGACAAGAAGCAATGGATGGAAACTAATCAAGGAGAGAAGCAACTTAGAACTAAGGAGAAATTTCCGGACAGTTAGAACAGTTAATCAGTGGAACAACTTGCCTTCAGAAGTAGTGAATGCTCCAACACTGGAAGTTTTTAAGATGTTGGACAACCATTTGTCTGAAATGGTATAAGGTTTCCTGCCTGAGCAGTGGGTTGGACTAGAAGACCTTCAAGGTCCCTTCTAACTCTGTTATTTTATTCTACTCATCCTTACCCTACCCTACCCTACCCATCTTCTCTTCTCTTCTCTTCTCTTCTCTTCTCTTCTCTTCTCTTCTCATATTCCATTCCATATATTCTATTCTATTCTATTCTATTCTATTCTATTCTATTCTATTCTATTCTATTCTATTCTATTCTATTCTATTCTATTCTATTTATTCTATTCTGTGGCAGCTGACACGTATTTTCCAAGGACAGAAAGTTATAGAAAGGTATCGGGAATCGTAATAGCACGGACTACATTTAATAGGACCTCTATTTTTTTCCCTCTTATCTCATGCCTGTAATTTCTTTTTTTCTTCTTTGCTCCTTTTCTGCCTTTTGCATAACATTAACTAGCTCCAAAGGGAACACAGGTAGTCCTTGACTTACAACCATTTGTATAGTGACCGTTCAAAGTTGCAACAGCACTGAAAAAAAGTGACGTACGACTGTTTTTTCACACTTACAACCATTGCAGCATCCCATTGGTCACATGATCAAAATTTGGATGCTTGGCAACTGCCTCATATTTATGACGGTTGCAGTGTACTGAGGTCAGCAACGGGGAAGCCAGATTCACTAAGCAACCATTTTATTAACAACTGCAGTGCTTCTCTTAACAACTGTGGCAAGAAAGGTCGTAAAATGGGACAAAGCTCACTTAACAACTCCTTGCTTTACCACAGAAATTTGGGACTGAATTTTGGTCGTAAGTTGAGGACTACCTGTAGTGAGATGAACATGTATGCTTATAGGAAAGCAGCAAACCAGGCCCAATTTTTGTGCAAAAAATGGAATGGAAGCCATAATGAGAAATTCTTCACACCTTACCTCCAGATGGGGCAGACAAAACCTCAGCATCATCTCGTCGCATTATTTAACCAACTGGTTTTTATTACCACTACTATTATTATTATTAGCATATGAAGTTGATACATCAGCCAGGAGACTACAATGCAATTGCAGAGTAGTGGGTTGGCTGGCGGTTTACCAACTCCGTCAGGTACACGTTTGCGTGCTTCCCATGGTGCGCCACAAGAGGGCGAGCTGGCTCCCCACCAGAAAGGAAGACAAGCGGCTCTTCCAGTAGCATCACCCAAGGCCCCCTCCTTCCCTGGAGTTGCCTCACAAACAGATGCCTCACAACCAGGAAGGTTCAGTGGGCAGGAATCTGGTTGCCTGTATAGAGCACCAGCTCATCTCCCCATCGAAGTGGTGCCTATTTTATCTACTCACCTAGAACATGCATTTGAACCTCAAATTGGGCAGAAGCCGAGGCTAGTGACAGGAACTCACCCAGACACACAATGCTAGAATTCGAACCTCCAGAGCAGAGACCATCTCCAGCGTCATTAAGCCACTGGAGCCATCGTGCCTCTTTTATTACCGATGAATCCCAAACTTAATAATTGCATGCAAAGTTGTACAACTGCTGCCTGAAACTGTGTGTGTATGTGTGTGCGGTTAATGCAGTTTTTGGCATTTACAAATACTTTGTGAAAAGGTTACCCTGTTCTAGGAATCTTTTATTAACACTTATTAACACTAAAGAGCAGTCCAGAAAATGTCAGACTCCTCTACCATGATATTTACAGAAAAAGCCTGCTTGGGGCTGACAAGGTTCTTTCCGGGAGGATGGCATTAAGAAAAGCAGGGATTTCTAAGAGGAGATGATTGCTTTGCCAGCTTGGGACTTACTAAGAATCGACAAAAAGTAGCAGATTCTCATTTCTCATTTCCACTTAAGGGCACAAAAAGATCTCGGCTTAATCACAAACATACGGATGAGAGATTTGTTCGCCCTGTGAGGGGTTTTTAGATGCAGCTTTCTCCTTTAATATATATGTGTGTGTGTGTGTTATGATAAACCCAGTGATGTTCACTTCATTCAACTATTCTTGAACTTTTAGCTTTCTCTTCTGCTTATTTATTTATTTATTTATTTATTTATTTATTTATTTATTTATTTCATTAGAATTATATATCGTCCTACTCCCGAAGGACTCAGGGCGGTGAACAGCCAAAAAGATAAAACACACAGATTATAAAATTTCAAATAGTATAAAAACTTATTAAACAATTTGGCCCGAGATGAATTAAAACATCCCCATATTTAAAAACAGATTTAAAATTACTCATATACAGTTTAAAAGGGAAAGTTAGGCCCGGCCAGCCTGTTGGAATAAAAAGGTCTTGAGAGCGCAGTGGAAGGTGCATAAATCTGGGATCCTCCGTATCTCCGGGGGGAGCTCATTCCAGATAACAGGTGCCCCCACAGAGAAGGCTCTCCCCCTGGGGGCCGCCAGCCGACACTGTTTGGCCGACGGCACCCTGAGGAGCCCCTCTCTGTGAGAGCGTACTGGCCGGTGAGAGGCTATTGGTGGCAGCAGGCGATCCTGTAAGTATCCAGGTCTTCTTTCTTTTTCTTTCCTTTGTCTTACTTTCTGTTAGTTTGAATTTGTTTTTTAGCTTCCTTTAATAATACACACATACATTTATATATATACATATATACACACGCACACACATATGTATGTGTATATATGTATGTATGTACGTATGTATGTATGTATCGGGGTGGGTTCTACCTACCTTTACTATTGGTTCACAACAGGATCGCGTGAAGCCTTGCTTCCGCGCATGCGCAGATCGCCGATGACGACATCCGGGGCAGTGGGCGGGGCCTCCCGCCGGTTTTACTACCGGTTCTTGCAAACCGGTCCAAATCGGGGGCGACCACCACTGGTATGTATATATGTATGTATGTATGGGGACGCGGTGGCTCAATGGCTAAGACACTGAGCTTGTTGATCGAAAGGTCGTCAGGTCAGAGGTCCAAATCCCTAGCGCCGCATAACGAGGTGAGCTCCCATTACTTGTCCCAGCTTCAGCCAACCTAGCAGTTCGAAAGCACATAAAAAATGCAAGTAGAAAAATAGGGACCACCTTTGGTGGGAAGGGAACAGCGTTCCATGCTCCTTTGGCATTTACTCATGCCAGCCACATGATCACAGAGACGTCTTCAGACAGCGCTGACTTCTTCGGTTTTGAAACGGAGATGAGCACTGCCCCCTAGAGTCAGGAATGACTAGCACATATGTGCGAGGGGAACATTTACCTTTACACACACACACACACACATATATATATATATATATGTATGTATGTATGTATGTATATGTATATGTATATGTATTATATATGTGTGTGTATATATGTGCGTGTGTGTATGTGTGTATTATTAAAGGAAGCTAAACAACAAATACAAACTAATATAAAGTAAGACAAAGGAAAGAAAAAGAAAGAAGCAGAAGAGAAAGCTAAAAGTTCAAGAACAGTTAAATGAAGGGAACATCACTGGATTTACCAATTTGCGTTGCAGCCCATATAATTAAGACTAGAAACCAAGAAACTGAATTCTAATTCTGTTTCCCAGCTCAATTCACCTGACAGGTTGGCTGTTGTTGTGGGGAAAATAGGAGAAGGGAGGATTAGGAATGTTCACCAGCTTGAGTTATTCATAAAAATATAATAAAGTGGGATTAAAAAAACCGTACAAATAAATAAGTTCCTTTTGGTGTTTAGCCTGAATCTAGTTTCTTATCATTTTAACTCTCTGGTTCTTGTTCTGATACTGCCTTAAGGGACAGTAGAATATAACTCTGCTCCTTCAACTGTGTGATAGCCTTTCCGATATTTTAAGATGGCTATTGTATCTCCCCCTCCGCTGCCTTTTCTGTAGGCGAAACATGTCCAGATTGTCCGTGGTTGGCTTGACACTTAAAATCTTTTATGCCTGTATCTTCATTAATTCACTCTGGCATTCATCGAAACCCCTCAGATCAGTTGTGCTTATAGATTTATATCCATTCCTTTATCATGCGTGTGGATGAATAAACTTCTGTTTAAACCATCGGTTGGAAATCGAAAACTTTTTCCCCAAGAAAATATTAACCGTTCAGTTACAATTCTCATTGGTTTTTGGGTTTCGGAACAGCCTGTTCAGTTTTTCTTCCCAGTTAATCCTCGACTTACGACCATTCATTTAGTGACCGTTCGAAGTTACAATGGCACTGAAAAAAAGTGACTCATGTACCGTTGCAGGATCCCCACGGTCACGTGATCAAAATTTGGGTGCTTAGAAACCAGCATGTATTTATTTATTTAGGGAATTTATTTATTTAGGGAATGTATATTGCCTAAATATAAAGTCATCCAGGTCATGGTTCTCCCAAAAGGTGCTTTTTCAAAAGGCAACTGGACTTTCTTTGTTTTTCCTTGAAGGTGTTTCACTTCTCATCCAAAAAGCTTCTTCAGTTCCAACTGAAGAACTGAGGAAGCTTTTTGGATGAGAAGCGAAACGTTCTCAAGGAAAAACAAAGTCCAGTTGCCTTTTGAAAAAGCGCTATTGGGTTAACCACAGCAAAAATAAAAAAAAAAAGCTTGTAAAATCGAAGGTGACTCACTTAACAACCATCTTCATTAGCAATGCAAATTCTGTCCCCAACAGTGGTCATAAATCAAGGACTACCTGTATCCTCTTCTCTCATCCCCACTCATTCGTACATTTCACCTAACAGAATAATTTCCCCTCAGATTGCAGTGTCTAAGCCATATTTTAACCGTGACACCTACCCTTGTATATGTCAACTCTGAAGCGAACCTGGCTGAAGCCATCTTGTGCTGCCTCACAGTTGCCACGAAGCCTGAGAGGGGGAAGGGAGGGGGGAATTAGATAGCCCAACTAGCAGTCAAAACAAAACGTTTTCCTGTGGGAACCAAGGTCATTGTAACAGGTGGCTGTTGAAGGAGGAGACGAGCCTGCCATCCGTCCTAATTGGACAATGTGACCGGTGACACCTGGGAGGGGGCGATTTTACTCTTTTAATTAGGTGAAAAACGCTGGAATTGTTAGAGTTGGTTTTCACCGGCTATGCCGATATGATGTATCCAGTAAACATGTTCTTTGAGGAATCTACCTGCCTCGGAGTTCTGCTTTCAGTGAGTGTGTTACTCAGAACCCTGACATTATAATTATTTGAGAGAGCCAGGAGGAGTATATAAGCGTCCAAAACACCGATTCCTATTACCCTCTGCTTCATAACTTAAGCAGGTACTTCGTTTATTATCCAGACTTTTTCCATGTTCCTCTTCCTGCAAAGACACTTTGTCGTTTACGTCCCATGACAGATTGCTAGTGTTTCAGCCCACATTCTCTAGCAAGTGATGTATGGGTTGTAGACGCACCACTGTATAAAGAAGAGAGGGCTTTGCTTCCCGGGTGGATGCTTGTTAGCTGGGCTAAGTTTATTTTTCATGTGATTTTCAGCACCAATGTTCTCCCCGACGCATCCTATCAGTCTAAGTATAAGCAGTCTCCTTATTTCTGACAGCTCCATTGTTCGTCTTGAGTAGAATGGACTGATTCGCCACGGCCAACACGCCACGGCCTCTCGCTGCAGCCAGCTCACTGTGACGATCTACTGTGGCCACTTCAACATGGCCATCTCACCTCGGCCAATCTGTGAAGCCATCTCACCACGGCCACCTTGCGGCGGCCAATTCACTACACAACATCTCGCCGCAGGACAATTCCATGCAGGATAACTGAATACAATAAATGTTATCCGCTACTGCTCCTTTGTCATTATTTCCATTGACAAAAATGGAAATAATGCTGCAGAAACAGTGGCGAAGAAACGTTTATCACGTTGAGTTATGCCGCATGGAATTGTCCCATGGCAAGATGGCCGTGGCAGAGTTGGCTGCAGCAAGATGGCTGTGGCGAGCTGTCCTAGACCCCTTCTTAAGATCTTTTCCCTTCCTACCTTACTTTTCTCCCCAAATTCTGTCACGTAGACCAGCGTTTCTCAACCTTGTCAGCTTGAAGAGGTGCGAATTCCAGAATTCCCCAACCAGGGATGGATGGCTCATACAACATGCTAGCGCTGGAATTCTGGGAGTTGAAGTCCATTGTCAACTCTGAAGTTGACCTGATTGAAGCAGAGGTGGGTTTCACTTACCTTTACCACCAGTTCACCGGGTATACACACACTTGCTTCACATGCGTGCTTTCCGCACCTGCGCCTGGCCTTCCGTGTATGAACTTTGCTCGCTCGCTCGCCTTCTGCGCATGCGCCCGGCCTCAAAAATGTGCCTAAATAGCACAACTTGGAGCTGGGGTGGGTGGGCAGGTGGGTGGGCAGGTGAGTGGGCCTACCCGTGATCGCCGCTACAGGTTTGCCCAAACCAGTGCGAACTGGCAGAATACCACCTCTGGACTGAAGCCATCTTGGAGCTTCAGTGTTGCCACACTGAAACTGAGATAGTTGGGACTCTGTAGCCAAAACAAAATACTTTCTCTTGGGAATCAAGGACATTCCCACACCTGGTCGAAGGAGGGGAATATTATCAGGCAACCAAATGGAGTTGTGATTGGACCATATGACTCATTGTTTTCAGAAAGTGAAATACGTTTTATTTTTAATTAGGTGAAAACCACAGGAACTCTCAGAGTCGGTTTTCACCAGACATGTGCCAATATAATATTTCCAATAAAGCTACCCTTTGAGGAATCCACCTACCTCGGAGTCTTGCTTTCTATGGATTTATTACTTGGAGCCCTGACATCCGTATCTCAAATTTGAGAAGATTGTAAAACATTGATACACAACAGCAAATGTTTGGAAACTTCACGTCTTCTCCAAAGCACCGTGTCATTCTCTGTTGGAATCTCTAAACTTAATTATTAATTTTCTTAGGATTATGCAACTATTGTTCTGGCCCAGGAAAAGATACTCTCCTTGTTTAAGGAGGTACCAACAAGGGGCATGCCTGCTTCAAATCACCTTTTCAGCTTCAGAACCAACATCCAGCTCATCTCTACTTTGCAACAAGATAAGACTAGAATCAAGTTTTCCTGGCAATTTTATACACACACATTGAGAGTCCAACAAATCTCAGGCAGCAGTGTTCAGAGTCCAGTTACTGTGACAAAGAATGCATTAATAGTAGACTGTAGAATTCAACCTAAAGAGAGTAATTAAAATTAGAATCAGGCTGAACTCTTTAGTCCTCTTATTTCCGCAGCCATTTGTGTATGAAGGAGAGGGCTGTTTTCAACTATCATTTTTGACAATGAGGCTTGCATTGTGTCTGGTTGTCAAATGTCCAGGGAAATGCTATTATGTCTTGAAACATTGTTCCCCAGAGGCATTTGGGCAAAGCTGCCAGGAAATCCAGTATGAATTGGTACAGGAACAAAAACGGCCCTTTTGGTTTTAGCAACAAAAGGAGGAGAAGGAGAGGAGGAGGAGGAGGGGAAAAGGAAGAAAGGAAGAAACTCATCAAGGAGAGAAGCAACCTAGAACTAAGGAGATTTTAAGGCAGGGTTCCAATATTTGAGGGGCTGCCACAGAGAGGAGGGAGTCAAGCTATTCTCCAAAGTACCTGAAGGCCAGACAAGGAATAATGGATGGAAACTGTACAAGGAGAGATTCAACCTGGAAATAAGGAGAAATTATCTGACAGTGAGAGCAATCAACCCATGGAACAGATGTTGCCTTCAGACATTGTGGGAGCTTCATCACTGGAGGCTTTCAAGAAGGGACTGGGCTGCCATCTGTCAAAAATGGTGTAGGGTCTCCTGCGTGGGCAGGGGGTTGGACTAGATGACCTACAAGGTCCCTTCCAACTCTGTTAATCTGTAATCAGTTGGCACGCCTGACCCGATTTTGTTAGAGCATCTACCTACAGACACAAAGGGAGGAAGGAACAGGCCTTTGGAAATGTCCTCCTAGCTGAACTAAGAGGGGGGAAAAATGAGATTTGTTAACTTTGTTACTTCCTGATTTAGAGGTAGTCCTTGACTTAATGCCAGTTGCTTATTGACTGGTTCAGAGTTACAGCAGACTTCCTCAGAGCTACAAAGGCAAGTGGCTTTTGACCAGGCCTTGCACTTATGATCGTTGCAGCATCCCCAGGGTCACATGCAGTGGTGGGTTCCTCCCGGTTCCGCCCGGTTCCGCCGAGCCGGTAGCGGTGACGATATAATGTCACCAAACCGGTTCTGCCCCCCGCCCCCCCACCCACACCCCGCATTATTCTTACCATTTATTTGGTCTCATCCCCAATCTATTGCTGCCTCCTGAGTCCCAGCTGATGGGCTATAAGGAAAAAAACTGTTTAAACTCTTGCCGCGGGGCTTCAAAGGGCCGCCCTACAGCTGATCAGTGGTAAAAGGCAGTTTGGTGGTAGACCGGTGCCTCCAAAAACAAATGAGTAGACCAGTACCTGCAAAAATACATGAGTAGACCGGTACAGCTCTGCAAGCAGTTAAAAGCCTGGTAGACCAGTACCTCTGCTAAATCCTAAAGCATTGTCACATGACCATCAAGCCATGCCCATAAAATAAGCCACGCCCACAGAACTGGTAATAAAAAAATTTAGAACCCACCCCTGGTCACATGATCAAAATTTTGATGCTTGGCATCTGGCATGTACTTACTATAGTTGCAGTATCTCGGGCTCATGTGATCCCCATTTGCAACCTTACCAGATAGTTTCCAAAAAGCAAACTCAATGGGGAAATCCCGATTCACTTAACATCTACATCAATGTTTCTCAACCTTGGTAGCTTGAAGATGGGTGGACTTCAACTTCAACGCGCTGGCTGGGGGATTCTGGGTGGAGTTGAAGTCCACCCATCTTCAAGCTTCCAAGGTTGAGAAACACTGGTCCACATGGTTCATTTAGCAACTGCAGCGATTCACTTAAGAATTGAGGCAAAAAAGTTCACAAAATCAGGCACAATTCACTTACCAGCTTCCTGTTTGACAACAGAAATTCCGGTCCCAATTGTGGTCGTAAGTCGAGGATTACCTATAACCATGTTAGAACAATTAATCAGTGGAACAACTTGCCTCTAGAAGTTGTGAATGCTCCAACACTGGAAGTTATTAAGAAGAGATTGGACAACCATTTGTACGAAATGGTATAGAGTTTCCTGCCTGCGCAGGGGGTTGGACTAGAAGACCTCTAAGGCCCCTCCCAACTCTGTTATTTGGTTATTCATGTCACCAAGCTGGACCACTACCTCCGGTACATATTTATCTTTGATATTGATGAAACAACAAAAAGTTTCAATAGGCTCAAAATATTTATTCCCCCCCCCCATCAGTTGTCATCTCTTACCTTTGGATTTCCTGCAAAACCGTGTCTATTAAATGCAGAATTTCCTAATGCCGTAAGTCTACTTCAATCATTTGTCCCCAACTGTGGTTTTTTTCTTTTTCTTTTTGTCTTTTTTCCCTTCTGTTTATGTGCAGGCTTTTCAGTATCCAGAAGAAGAAGAAGAAGAAGAAGGTGGTGGTAGGGGGGGAGCTTCAGATTAGAATGCGCTGACTGTCAACTATCGGAGGCCATCTGTTCGGTGCCATAGATCTGAAAGACTGCAGGACAAAGGAAATTATTTCTACGGGGATTACTTAAACCGTAACGCTGTAGTTTTCTACGGGAAATTTTGGGGCGGGGAAGAGAAACCGGCCTTCAAAGGAATCGGCTTTGTATGCCTGACAAGCTTTAGAAGTCTGGTACAAAAATGGAATTCTGACTCAGTGCATCAAATATTCTACACTGGGTATTTTGCTTTGAAAGAACCGCACAATGGATAATGGGGCCAGAAATCCAGTCCTGTATCCAAGTGATACAAATCCCACTGGCGTTCTCCGGAAAGAGAATTCAGAACAGGCAGTCTCACACCGTGTCTCCCTCTGTCTTCAAACCATATCCGTGTAAATGAATTAGGCCAAGGAGACACAGATCTGGAATCTGAAAAACAAGCTAGGTTCAAAAGTGGTGTGTTAAGGACCACTCAATGAAGACTCTGTATTCCATGAATAAATTTAGCAATGAGGAAGGAGGGTGAGAAGATGAGAATATCAAATCTAATCGTAATCCTAATCTTAATCTTAATCTAATCCTAGTCCTAATCTTAATCCTATCTAATCTAATTAATTTAATCCAATTCAACCCTACCCTACCCTATCTTATCATCTATCTATCTATCTATCTATCTATCTATCTATCTATCTATCTATCTATCTTCTATCCTAACCCTGCCCTACCCTACCCTACCCAACCCTACCCTACCCTACCCTACCCTACCCTATCCTATCCTATCCTATCCTTGTTGTTGTTAGTTGCGAAGTCATGTCCGACCCATCGTGACCCCATGGACAAAGTTCCTCCAGGCCTTCCTGTCCTCTACCATCCTCTGGAGTCCATTTAAACTCATGCCTACTGATTCAGTGACTCCATCCAGCCACCTCATTCTCTGTCGTCCCCTTCTTCTTTTGCCCTCAATCTTTCCCAGCATTAGGCTCTTCTCCAGTGAGTCCTTCCTTCTCATTAGATGACCAAAGTATTTGAGTTTCATCTTTAGAATCTGGCCTTCTAAAAAACAGTCAGGGTTGATCTCCTCTAGGACTGACCGGTTTGATCGCCTTGCAGTCCAAGGGACTCGCAGGAGTCTCCTCCTCCACCATATCCTATCCTAAATTCTCTGTACTGCAACGTAACATATGAACTATTATTCTTGTCAACTAAAGTTCAGTAGTAAATTGGCACCAGATAAGGGTCAACAGAATTCAGGAGGGGTTGAACTTGGATCTCTTGTGGCAACATTAGGACTCTAAGCTGACAACACATTTAACTTCACTTCTCAGTTCTGTCTTCTCCCCTCCTGCAACAATACAATTGCTATTTTAGAGTGAATGCAGCCCCATCCAGAGTGAGCGGCTCCCTTAATTTCCTGGACTGAGGAACTGTCAGTTCTCACGCCTCCAATTTGCTAAGATTCAATTTCAATTGACTGCCCCTTCAACCTACTAATTTCTGCCTCCAATTGATACTTTTTTAAGTGTTTGGAAAAAAAAAACCCATAATAATGCAGCCACACTACAGAATGAATTTGTATAAAACCCAGGAAGAGAAAAAAAGAGACTGAACAGTTTGCGTTCGCGTTTGTGTGTGGGTGTGGGTGTGGAGGGAGAGTTTGGGTTGCAATTTCCATGGTTTATTGATTTTTAGTGTGTTTATTCCTTTATGCTTTTATGTGGATTGATTGATCCCTCAACTCCAGAGCAAACAGAAACATAAAATTAAAATGTATTAAAACTAAGCACGCATGCATGTGCATGTACACGCACACCCACACAAAACACCCACCCACAAATAATTATTGGAATAAAGTCAACTATCTCAGGCTTTATTTTCCCAAGTTTAGAATAAGTCAAATCCGTTTCTGTAAAACATTCAGAAACAATCCAGTTTCTTCCAGTCCAATTTCTGAATTGGTCTGGCATCTGAACAGCTCATCTCAGGGGTGAAATGCTCCCGGATCGGACCAGATCGCCTGATCCGGTAGCGATTTTTCCCTGTGGTTCGGTGATCCGGTAGTGTGTCATTACTTCCTTGGTTTTAACCAGGAAGTAATATTTTTTTTACTTTCTGCACATGCGCAGAAGGTATGCACGCACATATAACGGCGCATGAGCTTCCGAACTGTTAAGGAAGGTAAGTAGATTTCACCCCTGGCTCATCTTATAAGTCTTTCCAAATTTATTTTCAGGCACTCCACATTTAACAACAGCATTTGGGACCAGCAACTCCATCCCTAAGTGATGTGGTCATTAAATGAAACATCATGTGACCATATCTGCTTTATAACATCAGTTCCGCTGCAATTGTTAAGTAAATCCTGTGCACAAAATGCCTCTTAACTCTCAGAATTGACTTATATTCACAACTCAAGCGAAAGGCAAAGTGTGAATCTGAGGTTTTGAGGTTCCGATTTCCAACACCGAATCTCATACCATTCCACTCCAGATCCCATAGGATCATAAAAGCATTTCAGTTATCTTACCCCAAGTTCTTAGCAACTGTCATGCAAAGAAGCTGACATTTGATAAGATCTTAGAGGATCATTTGTCTCGATCAGATTCAGACTGCGCAGTGGAACTATCTTCTTACAGAAATGGTGGATTTTCTATTTCTGGAGGTTTTAATAACAGAATGGACAATTAAACCATCTTAAGGATGGTTTAATTAATTGTCCTGAACATTGCAGACAATTTGACTAGGTAATAGTTGTGGTGTCCTCCAACTTCACAGTTCTGTGGTTCTACAATCTGTGGTTCTATGATTATCCCATAGATTGGAGAGGGGCTACTCTGGGACCCCCATCCCACTTGAAGCAGACGAGATGGGAGCCCAGTTCTATGCCTTTTTTTGTGTGTGTGATGACCACTATATATTATGGAATACATGTCTAGGGAGATTCTCAGGCATCCAGGTCATGATTGTCTCGAAGGTGATTTTTCAAGAGGCAACTGGACTTTCTGTTTTTTCTTTGAAGACATTTTGTTTCTCATCCAAGAAGATTCTTCAGCTTCACCTTGCTTGCATTCAGCAAAACTGTGAGGACTATCTTATTCCAATGGGCTTTGCTTCCAATGATGGATAGACCTAGAGGTGGTATTCAGCTGGTTCGTACTGGTTCAGGCGAACCGGTAGCGGAGATCATGGGTGGTGGGCCCACCCACTCTATGATGTCCTATTTAGGCACGTTTTTGAGGCTGGGTGCATGTGTGGAATGTGCGTGAGTGAGCTGGGTGCATGCTTGGAAGTTGTGGAAGGCGCGCATGTGCGCAGCGAACCGGTAGTAAGGATATTGGAAACCCACTGCTGGATAGACCTTAACGGATTAGCTTAAAATTTGTATTATGCTAAATGATATTGTGATGTTTTTATTTTTCTTAGACAAAATGCCTTGAGTTGCTGCAACCAGAGCAGAATGAGTGTTAGATTATAAATAAATAAAATAATTTTATTTTAAGAAGAGGCCAGTATTATTTGCCAATAATGCATCCTTTGATGGTCTGAAGTGACGAGTCGTTGACTCCTAATCTAAATATTCTAAGCTTTAAAAATAAAAGCCGAGATTCTCTTAGGGACTAATACTTGACATCTTCTATTAACCAGCAGCCCGAGGTCAGAAATTTCTTGCCCTTCTCCTTTGAAAGTCTGTTTTTCCCTTCACCACTGAAATTCACCACATTCAGGGAAATTTCAGACACATCTTATTAACCAGCAGTTCAGCAAAATCTCTTGAATCTTCCTGCCTCCCCATGTATAATTGGTCTTATATAAATGGAAATATGCTATTTCATCTCACTGGGAAAAAAAGAGAGAAAACAAATCAATGTTTCATCTCAAGAAATATAGGCCTTTTCCCCACTGTACGGATAAAACGTTGATTTCCAGTGTTTCCCATCTATTTTCAGAACCTTGAAGGAACAGCTATTACTGCTCAATTACTTTGCTTCATTAACCGAGTAAGAACTTGTATAAATATTAAGAGTCTCTGGTTAAAAGAAGAAAAAGAGAAGGGGAAACAAAAGAGAGAGAGAAACTGAGAGGAATAACCGGTGGATAATTAGAGAAGAGAAGAGCAAATTCCCTCATTTAATTCCTTGATGCCTTGGCCTGCATTCTACAGCTATGGAATTCCAGTTTTTAAATTGGTAATGCTTGAGGAATTTGGTACTTGAAAAAAATCTCATAGTACTTGTATCAAGGTCCATAATAGCATTACGCTAAATTTCTTTATTGCAACTACAGTGCACTTCACACAGGGCGGCCTTTAAAAACTATGTGGAAATTAAATTTGAATGAAGGCGAATATACATATCCCAGGATAAGGTTGAAGGCTCCTATCTGGGTTGGCCACCAAAGCTCTTCTGAGCTTTTGGATTTGTGTTGGATCCCATCTTCTGGGTACTTAGAGAGAAGTTCATTAAACTAGACATACCCAGTTCCTGCAACATTTGAAGAACGGTTGCAGGAACTGGCTATGTCTAGTTTAATGAAGAGAAGGACCAGGGGAGACACGATAGCAGTCTTCCAATATCTCAGGGGCTGCCAGAAAGAAGAGGGAGTCAAGCTATTCTCCAAAGCACCTGAGGGCAGGACAAGAAGCAATGGGTGGAAACTAATCAAGGAGAGAAGCAACCTAGAACTAAGGAGAAATTTCCTGACAGTTAGAACAATTAATCAGTGGAACAACTTGCCTCCAAAGTTGTGAATCCTCCAACACTGGAAGTTTTTAAGAAGAAGTTGGATAACCATTTGTCTGAAGTGGGGTAGGGTTTCCTGCCTAAGCAGGGGGTTGGACTAGAAAGCCTCTAAGGTCCCTTTTAACTCTATTATTCTATTTTATTCCCTGAAGATGGGTTTCACCACGACGCCAAGAGCTCGAAAGTCAAAACCGCTGGTCCCGGTGACCGAGCCAGATTGGATCCCAAAAAATTACAATTGGTCCAGGAAACAGTGCCCTGAGAGTTAATGGACTTGTGGGAACAAGTAACACCAATACCATGAAGTTTGTATT